ACTGACCTGGAACTCACTATGTAGCCCAGGCTGATCTCGAACTCACAGTGATCCTCCTGCCTCAGCCTCCTGAGTGTTGGGATTACAGGCGTTTGTCACTATGCCAGGCAGAAGAATTTTTTATGTGATTGAAGTTGTTCAGAGTTTAAAATAGAATGTTATACCTTTAAGATGTTTTAAGTAATTGTGATGGTAACCAGAAGGAAAATATCTGCAGATATATACAGAAGGAAATGAGAAAGGTACGAAAACATGTGACTACAAAAACATCAACAAAATACAAAGGAAAGAAGACTACAGCCCATAAAGTTAAAAAACCCACGGAAAATAATGAGCAAAATAGCAATAAGTCCTTTCATGTCAGTAATGACTTTTTTTTTCTTTTTTCTTTTTTTTTTTTTTTTTTGGTATCAGGGATCAAACTTGGGTCCTTATGCTTGTGAGGGAGGCGGCAGAACCACTGAGCTAAATCCCCAACCTAGTAATTACTTTAAATGTAAATGGATTAAACTTTACAGGCAAAAAATCCAACTGTATTCAGTTCACAAGAGATTTCAGAACTTTCAGGAAGATGGTGGAATGGTAAGCAGCAACAAATTAGCTTGTCCAAGATTCAGAATACGGACACTAGAGAATAACAATTTGGGGAATAAAAGAAGGACAGAGGTAGATCCCTGGTGCCCAGGAAGGACCCAAAGGGAAAACTGGAGCCTACAGAGAAATTGAAGAGACAGACCACAATGCAGAAAAAGGAAGGGGCAACTTGCACTTTCACCCTGGCTCCTAGCTCATGGGATGAGAAAGGAAGATCAAATCTTCAGAGACAGTGAAAGTGGACAACTCCAGTGGCCTCCAGGGAGAAATACACCAGTGGAACAGATTAGTGTGCTACAACAGCTGTTGAGAGACACCAGTCCAGGGGACTGCTGTGTCCCCTGGAGACAGTGCTTGGTCAGACGCCATTTTAGGGAGGGACTAAACCAAGACTGAGACTCAGAGCAGCTGTGAGTTGGCTTCATCTCAGGGCTTCTAATGTTAAACTACCACAGTGATTGAGTGAGGGATAATCCCGGAAGACATTCATGGTCAGGGAACCATGGTCAGGCTGGCAAGAGACACCCAGAGTGTTATAAGCTAAACAACCCAGGCCCAGCCCTGAACCTCCATGGATTTGAAAGGCCCAGAAAAAAACACCATGCCCTGATTCTACAGCCAGTTTGCTGGGATTATCCAGCAGAGATCTGGGCTCTGACTGCCTCCTTTGTCTAACAGCAAGAACAGAATCATGCCCTGAATTGGACACTATCACAAAATTGTAGATCCCAAAAGATACCACAAGCTTGAAATCACAGAGAAACGTCTTTTTTGTTCCCTGTCTTTGCTTTCATTTATTTATTTACATTTTTGTTCATTTTGGGGTTTTTTTTGGTTGCTTTCATTTCTGTGTGAGGGTGAACCTTGTAGTTTTTTGTTTTTTTATTCTTTCCTTCCCTTCTGTCTTCTTCACCAGTTTCTTGAAGCTTGGGTAATCTTCTTTTGTACTTCAGTCTTATTTCTAATCTCTTCTTCTATCTCTCTATTTTTTCCAGTTCTCCCCTTTTAGATTTTTGTCCTTTTTCACCTTAGGGCAAAATTGCTCTACTGAATGCATAGCTACTGCATATAATTTTCTGATTTGTCTTAGATTTTGTTATGTACCTATAAATCTTGTACCTATAAAGGTGGCAACTACTAGTTATCAGTTTGTCATTTTCCATCCTGTATTTGATGCTATTGTTGTTACTGATTGTACCACTTTAGCCAAGGTGACATAGTTTCTGTAATCAACTGAGTTCCTTGTATGGCAATATATAGATTGTCTGGAGGACATATGCAATACCATAGTCCAGTACCAAAAAACTGGGTGCTAGGCCAAACCAGCTGCACCCTCTCATCCCTAATAAACAGAAGAGGTGGGATCCTGGGATAGATTCAAAGGCCAAAAGCCAGCTATAACTAGAAGACATCTCTGAAAAGTAGTCATTTCCAAATGAGGTCTCAATACTAGTAATAAAGCTACCTACCATGGACAATTTACAAGCCTCAACAAAGAAAATGAGAAAACATGAAAGCAAGATGCAAGCTCAGATGCCAGGTTGGAGTGCCCAAGGTAAATCCAGAGACCATTGACATGGGACAGATCAAAAGCCATCCAGGTGAACATTCTGAAATGGTAGCAGCAGAAGCAACAAAGCCAATAGACAAATTGCTAGACAAAAAAACAAAACAGAAAACAATCATACAGATAAAGAGATGATGACCAAAAATAAAGACCAAAAAGGATTAAAAAATTGTGAAATAGGAAGAAATTGTTCAAAATTATACAGAATGTGAGATACTATATGAATACTTGAAATGCTTTAAGCAAAAAAAAGGGGTCTATTATTATTAGGAAATGAGCTGAGAGATTAGCAAATGAAAATATATTCTTTTTAGGGCCAGGCATGGTGGTGCATGCCTGTAATCCCAGCACTTGGGAGGCTGAGACAGGAGGATCGCTGTGAGTTTGAGACCAGCCTGGGCTACATAGTGAGTTCCAGGTCAGTCTCAACTATACAGTGAGACCCTGTCTCAAAAAACCAAAAAAAAAAAATTCTTTTTAGATCATGATACAGGGTATTTACCATTGCTATTCTCTAATCATTTTTGTTATGAAAAATTATTTTTTCATAGAACAGCTTTTATATTTTCTTTATTAATATCTACTTGCATTATATTAAAATAAAAAATGTAAAAAGGAGATGATAACCATAAATGAAGGAGATGGTTAATGAATCTAGAGGAGACACAGATTTTTTAAAAAGGAGAAAGAGTTGAGGAAAGAGATAGAAACCATAAATGCCTAATGTAGGAAAGAACTGAACTCCATAAAATAGATTCATACAGATATCCAGGAGATTAAAAATCCTATTGAAAGAATACACAGAAGAATCAACCAATCTGAAGATAAAATATCAGATCTAGAGACAGGGTTGTAGTTGGTGATTAGTAAATGAAAGACTTCCTAAAAATAGTAAGGGACCATGAAAAGTCAATCCAACAGCTGGTAGACAATGCAAAGAACAATAACATAAGATTGATCAGAGTCAATAAAAAATCAGGAGATAGCACAAAGGACATAAAAACCTGTTCATCGAAGTAACAGCAGAAAATTTCCCAAGCGTGGAAAAAGAATTTGACATACAGATAAATTCTGAGGCATACAGAACTCCAAATACCCCTGATCAGAAAAAAAAAAAAAATGTCACCAAGATATATAATAGTCAAGATTCCAGAAATTCATCACAAGCACAGAATATTAAAAGCTTTTAGAGAAAAGAAACAAATTGGGCTGGGGATTTAGCTCAGTGGTGCTGCCGCCTGCCTCATAAGCACAAGGTCCTGAGTTCAATCCCCAGTAGCAAAGAAAAGAAAAGGAACGGCGATTTATCTCAGTGGTGCTATGCCTGCCTTGCAAGCAGAAGGTCCTGAGTTTGATCCCTGATACAAAAATAAACAAATAAATAAGAAACAAATCATCTGTAAAGTAAAGCCCATCAGAATTACAGCAGATCTTTATAATTTCCTTCTTTGTGCAAGCGTTGGGTTTAACTTGTTCTTATTTTTCTGTAACCTTGAGAGTCAACATTAGGTTATTTACTTGAGTTTGCTCTGTTTTCCTGACATGGGATTAATTAATGCAATGGAGACTAAGAAAACAATACAAAAAAATCAATGAATTGAAGAGTTGGTTCTTTGAAAGATTAAATAAAATAGACAAATCTTTAGACAACCTTATCAAAAAGAAACAAAGAACAGACCCAAATCCATGCAATTAGAAAAAAAAGGGTAAAATCACAACAGATCATCTAGAAATCTAGAAGGCAATCACTATCTACTTTGAGAACCCGTACTCTAACAAGGTGGAAAATTCAAAAGAAATGGACAGATTCCTAGTTACATATGAATTATCAAGGCTGACTCAGGAAGATATAAAAATCCTAAATAATCCAATATCAATCAATGAAATTGAAGAAGTCATTTAAAAAATACCAATAAAGAAAAGCCCAGGTCCTGACAGATTCACTGGTGAATTCTACAAGAAATTTAGAAAAGATGCAATGACATTACTCCTCAAATTCTTTAATGAAATTGAAAAGGAAGCAATACTTCCAAAGTCATTCCTGGAAGCAAGCATTACTTTGATACCAAAACCAGAGAAGGATCCAACCAAAGAAGAGAACTACAGGCCAATCTCCTTAACAGACATAGATGAAAAAATCCTCAATAAAATACTGCAAACAGAATGCATCAAATCATCAAAAAGATTTTATACCATGACCAAGTAGGATTCATCCCAGGGATGCAGGGATTGTTCAGCATACACAAATCAATAAAGGTAAATGCACCGCATTAACAGAGTCAAGGACAAAAACCACATGACCATCTCAATAGATTCAGAAAAAGCATTTGACAAAGTCCAACATCCACTCATGATTAAAAACTACAAGCTGGATATGGTGATGCACACCTGTAATCCCAATACTCAGGAGGCTGAGGGAGGAAGATTGCCATGAGGTTGCTGATGACATGATCCACTCCACAGAAGACCCTCACACACACACCACCAGAAAGACTCTAAGAATTAATAACCAAATTCAGTAGTATATCAGAATATAAGTCAACACTCAAAAAAATCCATAGCATTCTTGTATACAAATAAGAAACTCACTAAGAGAGAAATTAGGGAAACAACACCTTTCACAATAGAATCAAGACAAATGAAATACTTTCAAATGAAGGAAATGAAAGGCCTTTACATTAAACACTACAGTACTCTAAAAAAGGAGAGTGAAGAAGATGTCAGAAAATGGAAAGATGTCCCCTGTCCTTGGATAAGTAGAACCAATATAGTGAAAATGGCCATACTTTCAAAACTGTGTACAGATTTAATGCAGGTCCAGTCAAAATACCAATAGCAAAGCCTCATTCTAGATGAGGATAGGCACTGTTGATTGGTGTCTAAAATTGGTCAGTGTGGCTAAAATTGAGACACAGTTCATGCTTCCATCACAGTAAACGATTACAGTGGTGATGAGACCTGTAACATTTTGCTCAAGAACAATGAAAAATGTTGACTTTCAATATTAGAAATGAATGATTAAGAAATAATACAGAATCTAGATCATGTGCCACAATACCAATATTATGTACAATTCAAATTCTAGGCTCCTAAAGTTAAACTGCTGGAAGGAATTTGGATATAAGATAAGATCCCAGGGCAGATAGGATGACTGGATTAATCATCAGTTCTTTGGAAAAGGGCTATCTTGAAGACAGCAACTCATGTGTGAAATTCCTTAAGCAAAAAAAAATTTTTTTTAATTTTAGCAGTATAGTCCTTTTTTTTTTTTTTTTTTTTTTGGTACCGAGGATTGAACTCAGGTCCCTGCGCTTGCAAGGCAGGCCACCGAACCGCTGAGCTAAATAATCCCCGGCAAATAAAAATGTATTTTAGAAAAAAAATACCAATACCTCACAGAATTAGCACAAAAAAATCCTAAAATTCATATGGAACCAGAGGAGACCAGAATAGCAAAAGCAATGCTTGGTAACAAGGGCACAGCATGGGGAATCACATTCCCTGATTTCAGTACTGGGGATTGAACTCAGGACCTTGTGCTTGCAAGGCAGGCAGTGGAACCACTGAGCTAAATCCTCAGCCCACTGATCATAAATTATACTACAGAGCTACAGCGATAAAAACAACATGATACTGGCAAAAAAAAAAAAAAAGGACTGATGATCAGTGGAACAAAATAGAAGATGCAGAAACAATGTCAAGCACACTCAGCCATCTTATCTTTGACAAAAGGGCCAAATACCTTCACCAGAAGAAACATAGCCCCTTTCGTAAATGGTGCTGGGAAAACTGGCTTTCCACATGCCAAAGATTAAACTTAGACCCATATCTTTCACCATGCACTAAACTAAAATTGAAATGGGTAAAGATTTGAATATTAAAACAGAAACCAATCTGCTGGAATATGAAAAAGGCAGAAATCTTGAAGACACTGGTGTAGGCAAAGACTTTACGAACAAAACCCCAATTGCACAGGAAATATTACAAAGAATCAAGAACTGAGATTACATCAAATTTAAAAGGTTTTGCAGAACAAAAGAAACTACCAACAGAATGAAGAGATAATCCACAAAATGGGAAATATGTTTTACCAGCTATCCCTCAAAAGATTCATATCTAAAATATTCTTTATATATACTCAAAATATCAGACTTCACAAATTCAAAGATTCAGTCCAAAAATGCTCATCTGAAATGAATAGCTACTTCTCAGATGAAGAAGTACAAACAGCAAATAAATATATGAAAAAATGTTCAACATCACTCGTCATTCAAGAAATAAATGAAAATTAAAACAACACTGAGATTTCATCTCACTCTAGAAAGAATGGCTGCTATCAAGAAATCAACCAATAACAAGTGCTGGTGGGGCTGTGGGCGAAAAGGAACCCTTGTCTATTGTTGGTGGGAGTGTAAATTGGTACACCCACTATGGAAATCAGTATGGAGATTTAAAAACATAATAAAATTAGAAGTTCCATTTGACCCAGCTATTTGCCTTCTAGGTATCTTCACAATAGAGTTAAAAGCATTATACTACAGTGATATATGCATACCTATGTTTACAACAGCACCATTTATAATAGCCAAATTTTGGAAACAGCTCATATACCCATCAACAGGTGAATAGATAAAGAAAATGTATTTATATACAGTGGAGTACTATTCTGCCATAAAGAAGGATAAATGTGAGTCATTTGTAGGTAAATGGATGTACTTTGAGACCATACTTTTAAGTAAAATAAGTAAGATACACAAGTCTAAATATCACATTGTTTCCCTTATGTGAGAAACTCTAAGGGCAAAATGGGGGATCGATATTGGAAAGTAAGGACAACATGATTAAATAGGAAGGGGAACAAAGGAGGAGGAGGGGGAAGGAAAGGATGGGAAAAGGGATTTTTAAAAAGAATGAAAGGGAAAAATGGAAACAAAGCTTCTGTAAATGGGCAGGGGAGGATGGGTTGAAGGGAGGGAAGAGAAGTTGATACAAAGTGTGTGATACATGAACCTCCAAATAATATAAGGGAAATATTATAACTCCCAACCTGCTAGATGTGCAACTCGCCCAGTCTGTGTTCTCTAAAACTGAAGAATAGGGCTGGGGATTTAGCTCAGTGGTTCCGGTGGCTGCTTCACAAGAGCAAGGACCCAAGTTCGATCCCCAGTACCAAATAAATAAATAAATAAAATTGAAGAATGAATTCTAGGAACAATGGAGGTTAAGAGTAAGAAAAATGTCTTGAGGGAAAGATAGCTTCTGTGTAGAGACAGAAGGGGAGATTGGAAAGTGGGTTGCCTTTTAATCCCGCTTTTCAAATGTATTTGATTGAGCAAAGCCACGAGGTGAGGTGGGCTCGAAGTGGGGCAAAACTAGTCAACTAATAAGACTACCAGTACAGACACTTACGTAACATCGATCCAATGGGAAATCGCAAGGTGGGTATGAGGTGGGACCAAACTATGATCAACCAATAAGATTACAAGTATAGCTGCTTTGGACATACTGATTAAATGAAGATCAAGTGGGGAAGCAAGTTACACAGCAAGTGTACGTGAAGTGAACAAGGATTTTCTGGGAAGGAATGGGCTAGGAAGGTTTTGGTCCCCATCCAAGGTAATTGATGCTTATTTAGAATATCAATCACTGCTGTTCATCCCTAGGGGAAGGATGAGCTTGTAGTAGCTCCTCTTTTTCTTGAAGCAAAAGAACCTCCAGCCACAGTTGTCCCCTGTGCTGAGGGCCCAGCACTGCCTAACTGCCTTATAATAGTTCCTAACTAACTTATCTGTATACAATAAAATGGAAAAAATAAGTAGAATTAAAATATGTTATGTACAGGTACAAATTCCCTATGAAGAATGTAATCATTATGTATGATAAATATGTCCTAATTTAAAAAAAGAGACTTCATAATTAGGAACACATATAGGCTGAAAGTGAAAGGATGGTATTTCAGTTATGATCTAGGGATCGCCCCAGTGCCTCATATGCTCATAAGTGGAGCTTTTTAGGAGGCCACGGATTTAGCTCAGTGTTTCTGCCACCTGCCTCGCAAGCGCAAGGTCCCGAGTTTAATCGAAAAAATAAAAATAAAATAAAATAAAAATAAGTGGGGCTTTTTAGAGGTGGCTATATCTAGGATGTGTGAATATGGATTAAGCATTTGTGATAACTACATTAGGTTAGCATAGTTCCGCGTGTAGACAGTGGAAGCCCCACCGTGGGTGTGGATGTCATCAATCAATAAGCTTGTAGCCTGGATGCCAGACTTTACAATTGGGTTACTCAATTGGGAAAATTAAGAGCAATGGGTTTAATTGGATCCCAGACTGGCAGGGGTCAAGTGGAAGGGGTCAAGTGACAGCACTTAATTGCCAGAGGCAAGGTGCACACACTTACCATAGTGAACAGAAGAACAACGATCAAAATGATCTGACATGTGTAGAACTGTGGTGCTGGCTGATTAGCCACAGTGCTCCCAAAAGTGAAATAGACAAGAAGCCTACTAAATTTTTACTACTTTATATAATAAAAAAAAATTAAGGGCAAATGAACAGAAACCTACTTCAAATAGTAGTAACAAGAGGATCATGATCCCTCAGTCAGCTCCAGGATTTGAGCCAGTTTACAGACCCAGAACCCCTTGAATGAAGGGGTGGCTGGGTCCTCTTGAGGAAGGACCCTGGTGCAACACCAAAAACTTATACAGTCAATTTTTCTCCCATTCTCTCCCAAAGGGAATTAAGGCTTTCTATCATGGTAACTGTACACTGGGGAAAGGGAAATGATCAGACATTTCAGGGACTACTGGGCACTGATTCTGAACTAACACTGATCCCTGAGGATCCAAAATGTCATTGTAGCCCTCCAATAAAAGTGGGTGCCTATGGAGATCAGGTGGCCAATGGAGTTTTAGCAAAGGTCTGAATCACAGTGGCTCCAGTATGTCCTCAAATCCGCCTGTAGTTGTGCCCAAGTCGCAAAGTCCCCAAAGACCACCAAGGAGTCAGTTCCGATGCAATTACAAGAGGAGTTTATTGCAAGCTTGAGCCTGGACCCTCGGGTGTCACCATCACAGTGGCTTCAGACTGAGAGCCCAGACCCATCTTTGAAGCAGGATTATATAGGGTTGGGGAGAGATGCTATTTTTATCTTTCGCTTACTCTTGGATATTTGAGGGGTGCTAGGAGGGCACTTATGGAAAATTACTGGTACCTACATTCACAGAATCAGTTCCTCTTTCTAAAGAACATTGGATTAATCAATTTCTATTCTTAACAGAACATGTGGTTATCTTAAACTGACTAATGCCAAGATCAGTTCCTATTGATTATCCTAAGTAGGGATAAGCAGGAGGGATTCATTTTTAGATTATTAGATCATAAAAAGAGGAACAGAAACACAGGGTGGAGGCCTAAGACAGAGCTGCCTAAAAAGAGGAACAGAAACACAGGGAGACTGTCATACAGAATGGAATTATACAGAATGGAGGTTTTGCAGCTCTGTTCTGGGCAAGGGGCACAGAGGGAGCCCACCTTGATCTGAAAACTTGGTCCTTATATAGTCATTTTCCTTGTTCCAAAATGCATTGTTGGGATAGATATACTTAGTACTTTGCAGAATCCTCGCATTGGTTCCTTAACCTGTGGACTGAGGGCTGCTACAGTTGGAAAGACCAAATGAAAGCCCAATTAGAATTTCCTTTCTCTGGTACAACAGTAAACCAAAAACAATATCGCATTCCCAGAGGGATTGCAGAGATTAGTGCCACTATCAAGGACTTGAAGGATGCAGGGGTGGTGGTTCCCACCACATCTCCATTTAATTCTCCCACTTGGCCAGTGGAGAAGATGAATGTGTCTCAGGGAATGACAATGGATTACCACAAACAGATTCAAGTGGTGACTCCAATTACAGCTGCTCTATCAGATGTGGTTTCCTTGCTTGAGCAGATTAACACACCTCC